GAGCCGTGCAGAGCGCGAGCTCTGGAGATCTGTGAAGAACCTTCTCAAGTCTTAGCCAAGAGCCGATCGATGCGGAAGCTCCCCAAGGTCAGGGGGAGAAATAAACAACATTGGAAATGGTAAAAGTGTGTAAATATTTAAAACTTTTCCTTATTTTTAAGATCTTAAAGTATGTTTGAAGAAAAAGTTTAGAGCGAAAGAAAATAATAATGGCATGGGGTTTTACGATATCACTGTAAAGTGAGTGACCACAGTACAAAGGCGGAGAGTAGCAGACGGACGTTTACGACTGTGAAGTTTTCATACCGTGCGTAGGTGGTACAATGTTACTCGAAGGCAGACCGTGACGAATTAGAGATATAAACTGTATGTCCTCAGGCAGCCACTAAAAGCAAATCAGCAAAACAAACCAAAAAAGAACCCAAAGAGTTTACAGCAAATACATCAATGAAGATGAAATGAAATCATAAATAATACACAATTAATCCAAAAAAAGGCAGAAAAAGAGGGGAAATGGAAAAAAGGATAGAAAACAAATAGCAAGATGGTATATTTCAACCCAAACTGCATCAATAATTACATTAAATGTAAATAGTCTAAAAACCCCCAATTAAAAGGTGAAGGTCACTTGATTGAATGAAAATGCAAGGTCCAAAATACATTTCCTCCAAGAAACCCAGTTTAAACAAAAAGACAACAGAGCGTTAAAGGATGGAGAAAACATCTTACCATCCAAAGAAAGTTGGCACAGCTAGATGAAATCAGAAAAAAGTAGATTTTGTAGCCAAGAATGTGACTAGCGATGAAGAGGCCTGTTCGTAATGACAAAGAGGTTAATTCATGAAGAGGACGTAAAGTCCTCAATGTTTACGCATCTATTCCCCCCTGCAAAATACGTGAAACAAAACCGACAGCCCTACAAAAAAATCAACAAATAAGCAACTATAGTTGGAGACATCAACATCCCTTTCTCAATAGTAATTGAACAAATAGGCCTGAAATCAGTAGGATACGGAATATTTTAAGTTTATCAACCACTTTATCTAATTGACATTTATATAGCATTCCACTCAGTGATAGAAGAATATACATTTTTCACATGCACACAGAACATTTGACAAGATAGACCATAAGTTGGGCCATAAAACAAGCCTCAAAAATTGTAAAGGATTCAAATTATTCACAGTAAGTTCTCTGACCACAATAGAGTGAAATTACAAATTAATGACAGAAAAATCTCTGGGAAACCCCAAATACTAGGAAAATAAATATTCTTCCAAATAACCTATGGACAAAAGAAAAAATTAAAAGGGAAATTTGGAAAATATTGTGACCCTAATAAATAGGAAAACACAACATTGCATTATTGTAGATCCAGGAAGCACCAGTTAGAGGGAATCCGTGGCACTGAGCACACACACGCAGAGAGAGGGAATCTGTGGCACTGAGCACACACGCTGGCAGAGAGAGGGAATCTGTGGCACTGAGCACACACGCTGGCAGAGAGAGGGAATCCGTGGCACTGAGCACAGACACTGGCAGAGAGAGGGAATCCGTGGCACTGAGCACACACACTGGCAGAGAGGGAATCCGTGGCACCGAGAACACACACCAGCAGAGAGAGGGAATCCGTGGCATTGAACACACACCAGCAGAGAGGGAATCTGTGGCACTGAGCACACACACTGGCAAGGAAAAAGGCTTGGGATCAGTGACCTCGGTTTCTATCTTCAGGAATTAGAAAAAAAAAGAGCAAATTAAACCCAAATAAGCAAAATAACGGTTATGATTAAAATAATAATAGAAATCAATGAAACAGGAAACAGAAAAACAATAGAAAAAAATGGAACCAAAAGCAAGTTCTTGGAGAAAGTCAATAAAATGAAATAACCTTTAGTCAGACTGATTGAGACAAGAAACAGAAGACAGAAATTATCAGTGTCAATAATGACAGAGGTGACATCGCTATGGATTCCAGAGATAATACCAAGAAAAGAAGCAAATATTATGAATAATTTTATGCCAATAAATTCGACAACTTAGATGAAATGGAAAAATTTCTTGGAAACATAAATGACCAAAGCTCACCCAGGAAGAAATGAGTGGCCTGGATGGTCCTAAACCTGTTAAAGAGATAGAAGTTTAGTTTAAAATATTTCCAGAGGAAAAGACTCTACACCTCCGTGGCTTCCACACACGTCCCCTTACGGGAACTGAGGAGGAAAGACAACTTTGTAGCTCATTCTGTGAGGCCGGCATTATCCCAATACTACAACCAGAACAAGGCGTTATGAGAAAAAGGAATATAGACCAGCATTCCTCATGGATATAGATGCAAACATCTCAAATAAAATTTTAGTAAATAGACTAAAACAACATATTGAAAGGATTTATATCATGCCCAGGAACATAAGGGTAGTTTAACATTCAAGGAATCTACCAATGTCATCCACCATATTAATAGACTAAAAAATAAAAACTGTCTGATGATTCCACCGTGGATGCAGGAAAGCATCGGACAAAATCCAACATTCATTTCTGATAACAACTCCCAGAAAACCAGGAAGAGGGGACGTCCTCAGTCTGGCACAGGACCCCTGCAGAACGCACCCTGAGCACACCGCGGTGGGTGACACCGAGCACTGTCCACCAAGGCCAGCGGCCAGCAGGGGCCCCTCCCTCCACCTCCCTCCAGCTGGTAGAGCACGGCAAGAAGAGGAAACAAGACGCACCCAGATTGGAGAGTAAGAAGTAAAATCGTCTGTATTTGCAGGTGGCATCATCGTCTATGTGGAAAAAGGGATCTTATCCACAAAAGAAGCCACTGCGAGTGATTTTAGCAGGCTGTAGGATACAAAAATCTGTTATATTTGTGCCTACTACTAACAATCATAAATTTAAACACCACCATTTACAATAGCATCAAAGTAGTAAATACTTAGAGGTAGATTTTACCAAAATGTGCAAGACTTATACACTAAATGCTATAAAACGTTGTGAAGAGAAATTAAAGAACTCAACCAAATGGAGCAGTGCACACATGCTCGGTTCAGAAGACCCGACACCAAGACGTCGGCGGCCTGAGCCGACGGTGGACGCCACACGATCGCAGTTGACATCTTGGCAGCTGGTTTTGTACTGATTTGCGTTTCCCTGGTAACAATGAGTGATGTTGGGCACTTTTGCACATACCTATTGGTCATCTGTCTATTCAGGTCCTTGGCCCACTTTTAAATTGGGTTATTTGGGTTTGGGGGTTGGGCTTTTTGAAATTGAGTCACCTGAGTTCCTTGTATGGTTTGGGCATTAATCCCTCATTAGATAATACGGTTTACAGACATTTCCTCCCAGTCCACAGGCTGCCTTCCACGTTGTTGGTCGTGTCCTGGGCTGTGCAGAAGCTTTGCAGTTCTACGTGGCCTCACGTGTTTATTTTTGCTTTTGCTGCTCACGCTTTCGGTGCCATATCCAAAAAAATCATTGCCAGGACCGATGTCTGGGAGGTTTTCCCCCAGGTTTTCTTAGGCGTGTTACGGTCTCAGGCCTCACGTCGACGTCCGCAGCCCACTGAGCCGGCTCGTGTGTGGTGTGAGGCGAGGCTGCAGCTTCACTCTCTCGCATGTGGACGTCCCGTTCTCCCAGCACCGTATTGCCAAGAGACCGGCCTTTCCCTGCCGTAGGCTCTCGGCACCTACTCCAGAGAACAGCTGACCGTGGAGGTGTGGGCTGACTTCCGGGCTCTCTGTCCTGTTCCCCGGGTCCACGTGGGTGGTCCACAGCAGAGCCACGCTGATCTGGTGACG